AGCATTTTACAAGGATTTGCTTTATTTAGGGAGGGAGGGAGGGAGGGGGGAGAGAGAGAGAAGCCAAGGAGGATGACTGCTTATTGGCCTGTTCTTCATGGCTTTCTCTGACTCTTTTCTTATGGGAATGAGGACCATCTGTACAGATGAAGTTCTGCCTCCTGCAGAAAACAGCCTGTGCTGCCTATTATGACAGTAACACCCTAATAACTCTCTCTCAAGGCCAACTTCCAGGCTCTCAGACAACTGTCTTGATGATGTTTGATTTTTCTTTATTCAAGGTATAGATAAAGCTATTGTAAAAACTCACAAAGAGATAGAGACAAAGACCCACATTGGAGCACTGGTCTGAGCTCCCAAGGTCCAAATGAGGAGCTGAAGGAGGGAGAACATGAGCAAGGAAATCAGGACCGTGAGGGATGCATCCACCCACTGAGACAGTGGGACTGATCTAATGGGAGCTCACCAAGGCCAGCTGGACTGGGACTGATGGAGCTTGTGATCAAACTGGACTCTCTGAAAGTGGCTATCAATGAAGGCTGACTGAGAAGTCAAGGACAATGGCACTGGGTTTTGATTCTACTGCATGGACTGGCTTTGTGGGAGTCTGGTTTGTTTGGATGCTCACCTTCCTAGACCTGGATGGAGAGGGGAGGACCTTGGACTTTCCACGGGGCAGGAAACCCTGACTGCTCTTAGGAGTGGAGAGGGAGGAGGTTGGGAGAGGGGGAGGGAAAAGGGAGGTGGGGAGGAGGTGGAAATTTTCAATAAATAAATAAATTACAAAAAGAAAAAACTCACAAGGCAGAATTCTGAGGTCTTTATTTCATCAGTGGTCTAAAAATAACCCAGATATTAAGAAGGAAAAATACTGTATTAATAGAATATTATTGGATATTACTGATTCTTAGAAACAAAGCTGCCCTCTTATTCTAGAGTTGAGTAATGTCTGACTTTTCTGTTTAGCATTACACAACTGAAATATGCCCTTGTCTTTACAGATGGTTCTGTATGAATGCTTCTTTCAGGTCCCCTTATTAATATTTTGAATGCAGATCTGTTACGAGTTGCAGGACTTCAGCTCCAGGTTCTTTTCAAGTCATATTTATGAGGACTCTGTGCTCTTCTCCCCAGAGAGCGATGAGTAACCAGAACAAGCAAGAGAATTGTTTTTATAATGATTCTTTACTAGCAACTTCAATATCCAATGTATCCATGGTGTTTTCAATCTTAATAGGCATGGGGGATTGATAATGGGCAATACACAGACAATTCAGTATCACAATTATTAATCCTACTAAACCTAATACATAAAAACCAATTCATAGCCTTAATCTAACTTATCACTTATCCATAAAACACTTCTTAACCTTAATACAACTTATTCATTAACATTTCTTAGTCTTATCAATTATCCATAAGATATCTCTTAACATTTCACACACTAAACATATGTATTAACACATCTATTCTCTTCTCTTAATATCTCATACACGCATTAAATAGCATCATACGACCTGGTTTTCTTCAGCTTAAAAAGGGCTTTTTGAATTTCTTCAGGCTGGATGCCTGACCACCCTGGGGGCTGGATAGTGAGGCTCGACTCTTGACCCTGTAGTCTGCGCTCGGGAGATAAACTTCTGATGTCCTGTTTCAGGCTGTATTGGGTGCTGGATCAGTCCTTGACCATGTAGTCTGTGGCCTGGTGCTAGTCTATCTCAGAATATAGGGCCTTTAGACTTGGCTTTTCGGGTGACTGTGTCTCGGGAGACAAGGATTTTAATTCTCTACTCTTGAGACAACAAAGTGTTCTGTCTGCTCTAGAATCAGAAGATGAAGCTTTGCTCTCAGGATGGCAAAGCATTCTGTCTGCATTTGGAAAGGCAGAGTATCTTGTCTGTTCTCAGGAGACAGACTTTCAATGTCCACTCTCAGGAAATGAGGCTTTGCGTTGTTTGCTTTAAGGAGATGAAGCTCTGTACTCAGGAGACAGAGCATTAAATGTTTAGGCAAGGCATTAAATAGTTCTGCTTTTCAGGAAGCAGGCTTAGAGGATCTCTCTTTCAACGAGACCAAGCCATTGTGAGAAGTGAGATGACTGCTCTGCTTCTGCCCTCTCTTTTTGCCAGTTCGAAACTGCTCCTCATTTGATCCTTCCAATAACCAGATATCCTAGGTTATCAGTATCGACTGTTAACAAAAGGATGGGTGGTCCCTCTTGTGTGGCAAGATTATTTCGTTAACATGGTTGCTGGGTGTATCTGGCAAGGCCAGATGGGTGTGGCAGCCTTCAAGCGGGCAAATGTTCTCTTAATATTTCAACTTAATAATTTTCCACATCACACAAAAGAAGAAATGCTTTTACATTACACCAAGTTGCATTCATTCCTATTCTATAAATTTCCTGCTCTATCTACACTACAGATTCTCCTTTATTTATTCATTCAGAGGAATCTGTTTCCATGCTCATTTCAAGTACAGTACTTCTAAAAATGATGTCATTTTTATATTGAGTATGTCTTTGAGTTCAGGGGTGTTCTTATCTTTGCAAACCAAAAATGGGGTATATTTTGCTAAAAAAGTATGAAGAAAGGAACTAAAAATACTATATGACTGAAATCTATGTTCTTAAAAAACTTTTCCCTGAGTTTACATGTTAAAATGCAACAATATCAAGACCTCACAAATATACCTGAATTAAGAAATAAGAACAGGGAGCCATTTAGTACAGAGAGGGCCTGAGGAACCAAGCTCCACTGGGAGCAGAAGCCAGGAGCAAATCCAGTTTGTGTACACTGGTGAATTAGGACTGAGTCAGCGACCAGATCCAGAGAGAACAGGTACAGGGGAGTAACTACTGAGTGAGTGAGCCAGAGCCAGAGAACACTGAGGGTCCAGACATTCAAGGGAGTAGAACTACGCCAAGACCCTGGTGGGTCTGGGCATGAATCTAGGACTTCACAGGAACTAGGTCTGAGCCAGGACCTCTGCCAAGTCTGGGCATGAGTGAACTGGGAACCTCCAAGGAAATAGGCAGGAACCAGAGATCTCAGCAGGGCCAGGCATGAGTCTGGGGCCTCGGAGAGAATAGGCCTGAGTAAGGACCTCTGTGGGTCAAGGCATTGGTCTTAGACATCAAAGGGAATAGGCAGGATCCTGAAACCTCTGCGGGTCCAAGCCTGAGTCTAGGACCTCTGAGGAAGTAAGCAGGTCCTCTGTGGGTCTGGGCACACCTGAGCCTGGGACCTCCGAGGCAGTAGACTGGAACTAGAAACCTTTCCAGGTCCAACTCCAACCCAGGGACTTCTGCAGGAGGGAATCCAGACCAGGATTTACAGGTTCAGGTCAAAGATGCTATCTAGGCTAAAGTCACCCTGAGGCAAGGATATCCACCTGGGGGGAGGGGGGAAATTCTGCAGGAGTGAGCCAACTAGGACATAGAGGGCCTGAGGAAACAAGCAGGTGTGATACTCAGTTGAAAGAGCCACTTGGCAAGATCATCAAAACAGGTAGGACAAAGAAAACACAGATCCTGGAGCCACCTAGCTGTGTGACTCTGAGTTATTTTACTTGTCCACCACTATGCGGTATTTCTGAAAACAAAATATCTATTTAGGTAAACATATTTGTACATATTTAATATGCTTGTATAAATACATATAAAGTATATATAAGTATTAAAATTTTCAGACTTCTAATTCAGTAATATAATCTTTGGAAATTTGTCCAAAAGGTAAAATTCAAAGTAAATTTCAGTCCATTTGTAGAAATGTTATTATCAGTATTCTAAATAGCAGACATTAGAAACAAACTAAATATTCAACAACAAAGAATCAGGTAGGTAAGCATAATTTATTACAGTCATCACAACCTGCAATTTTGAGTTACATGTTCCTATTTTTAAAAATGTTCATAATGTCAAGTTTAAAAATGAATAATAAACATGTATGTTCACTGTACACATAACTGAAAAAGAAGGTATATAGGAATAAAGTTATTCTCCATTTGAACTTGGCATGATATCATGGAAAAAACTATAAACATTAAAATATTTTCAATAGTTATAATATGGAATCTAGAAAAGAGCAAGATATTTATATTAAATAAATACAAAATATCTAAACTTGAAGGACCCAAACTCGTTTTAACCACAGTTATACCGTTTTGCAAAGGTTCGCAGATAACAAGCTTAATTAAGGGCCTCCGGAGTTCAGGACCTCCGGAATGCTGAGCAGATAACAAGCTTAATTAAGGGCCTCCGGAATGCTGAGCAAAGATACCTGAGGTTAGAGCAAGGACAGCCTTATCTGGCTGCGAGACAGGGGATTTATGGACTGGCCATAGAAACAAAGAAAGAGAGGATTGCGAGGCCTGAGTCACGTATAAAGCGGGGCTCGTCACGAGTCAGGGGCTGTGCAATCAGACATCTGGTCGCCAGCCAGGAAAAGGGGCAGGATAAGAGGAACAGTAAACCGCTGAGTAGTCCCCTCATTGTTATTTAGGTTAAGAATTTACCACCCTGCATCTTGCTTCTGTAAACCTCGCTTTTTGCTCTCCTATAAAAACCCCTCACCCCCAACCTGCGGCGCGCAAGTCTTCCGAGAGAGACTCTGTCGCCCCAGGTACCTGCGTATTCAATAAACCTCTTGCTGATTACATCCGGCCGCGTGTTTTCGACTGATCTTTGGGCACGGGGTCTCTCCCGAAGGAAGACGCCCACGGGAGTCTTTCATTTGGTGCGTTGGCCGGGAATTGAGGCCCCTATCCCAGAGACCGCCGAATCACCGCCGGGAGGTAAGCTGGCCAGCACTTTATGTCCTGTAGTTGTCTTACGTCTTTTGCGTCTGAGTGTTGCGCTGCGAATTTGAAATTTGTTCGATTCAGCTGAGTTGGTTTGTATTGGGCGGGCCTCGGAAAGGAGCTGACGAGTTCGAACTTTCCCCCCCGCACCCCGGAAGACGTTCCGAGGGAATTTTGGAGCCCGATTTTTCGGGGCTCATTTGTCTGAACCCACGACCAGAGTCGGACTTTTGTTCGAGGGGTACGAGGTTCATTTGGGAGGCGAGGTGTCCGGAGCCTCTTCGTAACCTCCGTTCGCGCAGCGTGTTTGATTGTCGGTCTGTTCGTCCTATTGTGCATCTTTGTGGTTTGTCTGTTTGTTTATTGGAACACCAGCATGGGGCAGTCTTTAACTACCCCTTTAAGTCTTACTCTAGATCACTGGTCAGACGTCTCTAAACGAGCGAGCAATCAAACGCTCGAAGTCAAGAAGAAAAAGTGGCAGAGCTTCTGTTCCTCACAATGGCCCACATTCAATGTGGGCTGGCCGCGGGATGGCACTTTCAACAAGAATGTTATTTTGCAGGTCAAGGAACGAGTCTTCGACAAAGGGCCTCGTGGACGCCCTGACCAGGTCGCTTATATCGTTACTTGGGAGAGTTTGACTAATGACCCACCCCCCTGGGTGGCCCCCTTTATTTCTCCAGAGAAATCCCAACCCTCCCTAGGTCTCACTCCTTCGGCCCCGAATCCTCCCCTGCCTTCCCCTCCTCCGCCTTCCCTATCAAAGACCCCCACCCCTACGGTCTCCTCCCTTTATCCTGCACTGATGAAGGATGAGACCCCCAAACTACATGGAAGACCGAAGGAGACCCATAAGCAGCCATCTGTCCTTCCCCCTGACCCAAATTCCCCTCTTGTCGACCTCCTATCCGAACATCCTCCCCCCTACAACCCCCAGCAAGAGCCCGGAAATAATGAAGCGGATCCTGCGACGCCCTCGCCCTCATCACGGAGCTCCCCACCTACTGCCTCCCCTGTCGCGAGCAGGCTCCGGGGAAAGCGTGAACCATCTCCCCCGGACTCCACCTCCCAAGCATTTCCCCTGCGACAGGGAAATAACGGCCAGTTTCAATACTGGCCCTTTTCCGCCTCTGATCTATACAATTGGAAACAACACAATCCTCCTTTTTCCAAGGATCCTATGGCATTAACTAGCTTAATAGAGTCTATTCTGCTTACACACCAACCAACCTGGGACGATTGTCAACAGCTTTTACAGACCCTCCTCACTTCTGAGGAAAAACAAAGGGTCTTCGTAGAGGCACGAAAGCAGGTTCCCGGAGAAGATGGGAGGCCAACCCAGTTGCCCAACGAGATTGATGCTGCCTTCCCCCTCACCAGGCCTGACTGGGATTTTACTACGATCGCAGGTAGGACACACCTATGCCTTTATCGCCAGTTGCTCATAGCGGGTCTCCGAGAGGCTGGTCGTCGCCCCACAAATTTGGCACAGGTAAAGCAAACGATTCAAGGGGCAGATGAGTCTCCAGCAGCTTTTTTAGAAAGGCTTAAGGAAGCATATCGTATGTATACGCCTTATGATCCCGAGGACCCAGGGCAGGCTAACGGCTTGTCGATGTCCTTTATCTGTCAGTCAGCACCTGACATCAGGAACAAGTTACAGAGGCTGGAGAATTTGCAGGGGTATACGCTACAGGATCTACTTAAGGAGGCAGAGAAAATCTTCAACAAAAGGGAGACTCAAGAAGAAAGGGAGGACCGTATCCGTAGAGAGAAAGAAGAAAGGGAAGATAGATTGAGAAGGGAAGCAGAGGAAAAGGAGGAGGCTAGAGATAGAAAAAGGAATAGGGAATTGAGCTGCCTCTTTGCTGCCGCAGTTCAGAGCCAGGAAAGTCGACAGGGAGATAGGATGGGAGAACAGAGAGGCCCTCGCATGGAACGCGACCAATGCGCCTACTGCAAGGAAAGAGGACAATGGGCGAAAGACTGCCCTAAAAACACTCGTAAACCCAGAGGCCCCAAACCACGAGCCTCACTCCTGGCCCTAGATGAAGACTAGGGAGGTCAGGGCCAGGAACCCCCCC